ATGTACCTTGGTTGCAGACACATCCCGGGATGTGCAAGAGGCAGCTGGTCAGTGTTTCTCTCTCATCGATGTTTCTAGCTCTCTATCCCTCTCCCTTCCTCTCTGTAAAAAATCAATAAAATATATTAAAAAAGAAAGGAAGGAAGGAAGGAAGGAAGGAAGGAAGGAAGGAAGGAAGGAAGGAAGGAAGGAAGGAAGGAAGAAAGATGATGCCTTCTTGAAGGTCCACATTCAGCATAGATCCTCAGAGGGCATGGATTGACTCATGGGGGGTCCCTAACTCAGCTTAAAAATACAACAACAACAAAAACTTCATTCTGTGTCTCATGGGGTAGGTAAGGGTATTGGGTAGGATAATTGATCTTTGGTCCCAAGAGAGTTGGAAAACGAAAGAACCTTTCAACTCCTGGCCACACTGAGACCTGTAGAAGGAGAATAAGTCCAAGTCAGAAAAGAACCCCGAGTCAGTAGCAAGCGCAGAAGGCCCACTGTGTCACCTTCTCTGACTGCTGAGCCTCCTGCCTCATCACCAATGTTCTTGTTGGGTCATATCACCAATGTTCCTGTTTCTATGACCAGAGTACCCTCCCAGGCTCTCTATGCCCTCTTGTCTCATTAGGCCCTACTAATGGCCAGCCATGGCTCCCACCAAGTCCGTAGCTGACATTCTACCTGCAGTGGGGACTAGGCTCCAACACTTTCTGGGAGCCAGGAGGACCCAAACCCTCTGGGACCTCTGTGTCACTATAGAATAGTAGGTGCAAACATTTTTTAAAACATATATTTTATTGATTTTTTTTTTTTTTTTTTACAGAGAGGAAGGGAAAGGGATAGAGAGTTAGAAACATCAACGAGAGAGGAACATCCATCAGCTGCCTCCTGCACACCTCCCACTGGGTTTGTGCCCACAACCAAGGTACATGCTCGTGACTGGAATCAAACCTGGGACCTTTCAGTCCCCAGGCCAACACTATCCACTGAGCCAAACCGGACAGGGCAGGTGCAAGCCATTTTAAGGAGACAACACCAATGACCAGCGAAGGACACCAAACTTCTCTGCCCCAGCCGTCTTCGGGCTGCGTAAGCCTTTACATCTCTCACAGGATATTTTTTGCTTCCTGACATGCTGAGAGATGAACATTACATACCATGTTATGAACAGACCAGTGCAAAGTCTTGGGAATACAACATGTTTATTCAGGCCCATGGAATATATTCAGGCCCACTGGTATATTCACAAACTTTGTTCCTTTAAAGCAGAGATTCTCAACCCATGGGTCGCGACAGGTAGGTCACAACAGGTTGAGAACTGCTAGCAGGGTTGATAACCACTAAGACTATCAGAAAACACAGATATTTACAGTATGATTCATTAACAGTAACAAAATTACAGTTATGAAGTAGCAATGAAAATAATTTTATGGTTGGAGGTCACCACAATATGAGGAACTGTATTAAAGGGTTGTGGCATTAGGAAGGTTGAGAACCACTGCTTTAAAGAGTAATTTTAGCATTCCTTCACTCCTGTATTCATTCATGTAGTGACTCATTTGTTAATTCATTCAACAAACGCTGAACGCTGATTCTAACCAGGCAGCTTCACAGAAAATAAGGAAAAATATTGAATCATATCCTATTTAATACATTCCCACAAAAACTGCAAATTGTCTCTAATATATCACTTACTGCTAAGTCAAACATTTCTATTAAGTTTTAAAAAATCAAAATAAAGATGGCATGCCATAGAACTTAATGTTGAGGAATTAGCAATTAGTCTGGCATTGAAGTTTTTATAGATTATGTGACATTTTGACATTTTTACAATTGCCATGATACTTTTATGTGGCATCAGTTACACTGTAATAGGCTCATGGCATGCCATGACTTTGAAGGTAAAGAACAGAAACTATTGGGTAACCTTATCTTGTTAAAATCCTTGATTCACATAACTACCTATTACTGGTTAAGTTTTGGAATCTGTGGTCTTGATGTATAAATGCATGGATTAAATAACATTAATGTGTGATTGCATGAAGATAAACCATATAGCTTAGTTCAATTGCAGCATAATTGTTATCACTAAATGTAAATTGATACCAATTAAACCTTCCTTTAGAATACCACAAATTAAGATGTAACTACTGGAAAAATTCTAGAATGCAATGTTATAGTATACCATGGGTAGAATATCCATGGATATTTCAGAGGCTTAATGACATTTATAAAATTGAAAACATCTTTCTTCTTTATTGCAGGCATTAATTGTGCCTTATCCAGGAAAGTTTCAAAGAGACACCCATTCACTTCTTTAAATATATATGTCAATGAGTTCAGCCTTTAAAATGCTGACAAGAAGACAAGTTATAATTTCTTGTGCTCATAGAGAGTAAATATTTTAGTGGAGTGGCATTGGGTGGAATTTGGGACAAGAAAAGATCTGATATTAATGTTAATTCCAATTCTTAAATTACAAAATTTTGTTCATCAGAAACAGTTGAGTTAGTATCATTCTACATAACAAAATAGTAGCAATTAAAATACTTATGTATTACAGCATAAAAATACCTTCCTCCTTCATATATTCATCCCTCATATGTACTGTGTTGATTGTTTATCTGCCTACTGCAAGGCATTTAATTTCTGAACCTCAATTTTCTCTTCAGGAAATCAGGGTAATAATAGCTACACAAAGGATTATAGTAAGGATTAAATGAAAGCATCATCAGTGATTCAATACAGTACTTTATATTAAATCAACATTAATAAACATGCTTCCTCTTTCTTCCACACCCCCCCCCCACAATTTCACATCTTTATGCTTCTTTTATGAATATTTGTACCAGAACTGATGGTTTAGATCTATAAGGCACAAGGTCTAAAATATATGACGCAGCCAAAACCTGCTTGGCTCAGTGGATAGAGCGTCGGCTTACAGACTGAAAGGTCCCAGGTTCGATTCTGGTCAAGGGCATGTACCTTGTTGGTTGCAGGCACAGCCCCAGTAGGGGGTGTGCAAGAGGCAGCTGATCGCCGAAACCGGTTTGGTTCAGTGGATAGAGCGTTGGCCTGTGGACTGAAAGGTCCCAGGTTCGATTCCAGTCAAGGGCATGTACCTTGGTTGCGGGCACATCCCCAGTAGGGGTGTGCAAGAGGCAGCTGATGGATGACTCTCTCTCATCGATGTTTCTAACTCTCTATCTCTCTCTCCCTTCCTGTCTGTGAAAAATCAATAAAATATATATTTTTTTTAAAAAGAGGCAGCTGATCGATGATTCTCTCTCATTGATGTTTCTAACTCTCTATCCCTCTCTCTTCCTCTCTGTGAAAAATCAATAAAATATATTTTTTTAAAAAGAAAAAATATTTGACACAGTGAAAATTTAATCAAACTTATAATTTTGACATAGAGCACTCATGTTTTTCAGAGGAGAGAGATGCATTGTAAAGAGGAAGATTCGGCTAAGTACTGATTGAACTTCTAGAGCTGGCGAATTTTGTTTGTGTTTTTAGCAGAACTTGAGCTATTTCAGAGAAACAATCCGCAGATGAATCAACCCTTTCCTTCACATCCCCCCAGTCTGCAACCTCCACGTGCCTCTGTGTGACCAGGTCTCAATTCCAGATGTTCCAAGTAGCTCTTCATTTCATCATGTCTTCTGACAGCACCTAAGCAAATATATCAAACGTTGTACAACATTTAGCAAGTGCAACTTGAAGATTTTCTTTCTGTTAGACAAATAGACGCCATCTGGAAAAAATAACCCCAGGCTCTTGGACACTGGAGCATGGAGCCTATTGGCTGAACACCCAATGAATACCTTACACTACTTTCTTTGGCTCCTACCCTCTGCCTGCTTATTTCAAATCTTGCACACTTCAGCAGGCACTGTGCTGGGAGACAAACGAGTCCTTGTTACCCATGCACTCAAACACTGCGAAGACTCGCTTAATTTGAAAGACAGGCTTTGCGAAAATTATCTGGGCCAAAATTGTTTCCTTTCATACCAAAATACCTGCTCAGTATCACTGTGTCTTGACGTTAATTGATAGCAATATTTTATTATTTTGTTCTTTCTCAGATTTTCAGTATTGCCATGTCCCATTTTTACACAGGGGTTTTCTTCATGTAATCTTTCCTTCCCTCTTTGCTCTCTCCCTTCCTCTTTTATCTTAGTTTCTTTCTATATGAAAAAGTCCTACCTGTGTTGTTATTTCACTGATTGATTGACTTTTATTTCTAAGCTAGTATTATAAAAAATATGTTAATTTCACCTTTCAAAATTGGCTGAGCTGAATTGGAGTGACTGAAACATTGTTGATGAAAACTAAACACTAACTTTTATAAATTAAATAAATTGAAGAGTCAGACACAGAAAGAGCTATCTTCATTTTTACTTTGATGATATCATTTTTGTGATAAAAATTGTTTTTAGTGAAAATTTTTTTTCACATCTCAAACTTTCTTATGCAATCAGACTTATGCCATATTGCTTAAGTTGTTCCCTTACTAATTACTTGCCTTTCGCCAGTTGTGAGCATGTAGCTTTTCAAAACCCAAAAGCAAATTGCCCCAGAACTTCTGGAATTCATTTTATTACATCTCATGATCTGAGCAGTAGGGAGTCCTGTGAAACATGTTGGATCAAACATTAACTTTATAAATTGCCTTCCTTCCCCACAATTCTTATGAAAAAAGTATTAAGCTAGATTAAAACTCTGGAAAAATTTAATGGGACTTTTGAAATCTGTTTGTGTTCAGTTTCCTGAAAAATAAAACTGCCTAATGGAAGCACTCCTTGCATGAGAAGTGGCTGTGCCTTTGAGGCAATTTTCTTCCGTACATAATAGTGAAATTGCAGCAGGATAATCTGGATGTTTGAAATGTCTTTGCCAAATCCATAATGCTGCCCGTAATAATATCTGAAGGGGGTGTGTGGGTTTGTTCATAATGAGAAAAAGGAAGCAGTGATTGGCAATAATATCACCTTGTGTCTTTGCAGTCCTACCCTGGTCCGAGCCTGGAAAGTGAGGACTTCAACATCCCTCCAATCACTCCTCCTTCCCTCCCCGACCACTCGCTGGTGCACCTGAATGAAGTTGAAACCGGCTACCACTCTCTGTGTCACCCGATGAACCACAATGGCCTGCTACCATTTCACCCACAAAACATGGACCTACCTGAAATCACCGTGTCCAACATGCTGGGACAGGACGCAGCACTGCTTACCAACTCCATTTCCGTGGTAAGACTCTCTTTATCCATTTGTGGTGGGGGACAAGGGACATGGAGGGTAGGGGGTGGAGCAAGGTGGAATTTAATGCCAGAAGCTCTGCACTGTGATAGCGCGTCATTCTGAAACTAGAAATAGGCTTAAAGCTACGGAAGATGTTCTCCAGAGGTCCTGTAAAATCCTGAAGCACTTTTTCGTTTTATATTTAAGTCTAGGCAAAGTCAATTTATGACATGTTTGATTATAAATACATTATTTATAACCCAAAGTACTAAATACTCTTGGACACTGACTGTTCTCTTATAAAGCCTAATAATCTTGCTGGCTTTCCGATGAAAAGTTATCTTAAAAGGTACTACCTCTCATCCAGTGCGGGATTCCTCCCCACGAGCAAGATTTCCCATCTGAACAGGAACCACTATTAAACTTGCTTTCCACCCTATTTCCACTCTCAGATTCCTCAAATTTACATAATAAGGAAGCAACAAAGGTGTTTTCATTTTGGAGGTATAATTTCTACAATCAAAATGTATCCTCATTAATGTGTTTTAGTGTATTGGACCTGTCGGATTCAGAATCTTCTGATGTTCTGTGTTTCTCAAATTTAGTGGGAATGCGTTTCATCAAGCAAACTAGCACAGATTAACTTCCCGGAGTCCAGGGATCTATATTTTTGATGAACATCCCTGACTTATCATGTAATCTTTCCTTCTGATTTTTATGGCATCCAAAACTTAATTTCTCTGTGTCACAAGTGCTGAAACATCTTTCCAGTGGCATATGGCTGAGGGCAGAGCTTTTTACCACATCATAAAACTCTCTCCAGGATTAGCAATGACTTTGAGTTAGTGTTCTTTCACTTCCGTTCTTCAATTACTTTAACAGTCTAACTCTATTGTATTTTTGCAAATTGCTGAACAATGTTGTCATATTCACAATGAACTCATTTATTAACTTCTTCATATTATGTTGTTTCTGATTTTTTTTTAAAAAATGTTTCATATGATCACTTACCTAAGCCATTTGGAGATATGGAAACTTGAATGATTTCACAGGAAGGTTTTTCTGTGTGTGAAGTAGAGTTGAAAGAAACCCCACAGTGGTGTTTTTAGGGAATGAAGGCCGGAGCCTAATGCCATAACAGTGTACGATTTTTAAGGCCTGGCAGGTGGCTGGTTGGCCAAGAGGAGAGAACCCATCCGCAGTACTAGCAGTGGTGGAAAACTCAGCACTACTGTCCCAGTTTTCATGCTATATTTGCCTGTCTAGACTTACCTTGAGACTATTAATTGTGCCTCCATAAAGTAGAGAATGGATTTTTAACAAACACACTAAATGTGTCAATCTGAATAATGTACTTCAAGACGGTCACCTTGAACAATCACAGACTGCTCTTTGGGGCTAAGTCTTCAGACCCAGTTCATGAGTCAGTAGGCACCACAATCACCGAAGAGAGGAAGAGCACATACAGTGCATAAAATACCAGTTTTGTCCGCTATGGTCCTTCCTCTTAGTGCTAATAAACTTGGCTGTAAGAGGGATAATGAGATATTCAAACATATAATTTAAGTACCCAAACTTTTCCTTTCTATCACTTACCTAGTTAGCATTCCTAAGACCTCCATATGTCGTTTACTCTTTAAGAGATGCTTGCACAACGTTAGTGAACATGCGTCTGGGATTATCCCAGATTTGCCGTCCTTGGCAATCCCTCCATTCTCAAATGGTGCTCAGGACTGGACCCGGTCACACCTGTGAAGCACAGCACTTTCCAGACCTTTCCTCCACTGTGCTTTCCTCATAACCCCTCAGGAGCTTCAGCTCATCCAGCGTTTCTTTATGCTGTCCCCACCTGACTGAATGCTCCAAACCGAGCTTCAGCATTTCCCCGTAGGCATGGTATTTCCCTTGGAACATTTAAGGTAAGGCAGAGGGGCCCTGATTGGCCTACACTAAGGGGATGGAGCTCTAACCTGCTATTCTAGGTCTTGGCCAGAAGAATCTACCTAGCAAGGTCTGTGAGCCTTCCCAATACCTCTCAAACCACATTGTGGCTGGGCATCTACTTTGCCTACTCATAGATTCACTCCTACCACTTTATACTATAAGTACAAAGCTACTCCAATCTATTTCACGTTTTGGTAAGAGTTCAGATAGGCTTCAGCACTGTCCAGTAGAGCTTTCTGTGCTAATGGCTTTTCCATTATCCATACCATCCAATGACAGTAGTCACTGGCTACTGAGTGTTCTAAATGTGGCTACTGTGTGAATGAAAGGCTAATTTTTATTTTATTGTATCTTAATCATTTTAAAGTAGCCCCATATTCCTTATAAAACTACTATATTGAAAAGCATACATCTAGTTTATAATGTTGATTCTAACATTAAATTGTCATTAAATCCATTTTTTTAAGCCACAGTAGTCTTGAAGAAAGATTTGGAGTTTAAACTGATTGTAAACATCCTGTTTCAAGGCTTTGATCTCTGGCTGGATTCCAGAAGCCAGAGTTTGATACACTATACAGTTGCAATAGAATTCTAGTAAAGTTGGAAGGGTCAACTTGATTGGCGTTTACTGATTCATTTGAGAAATAAGGAGCTTCTTCCTTTCTTATTTTGAGCTGTCATGTATCCAGAATGACATCCATCGGTGTACATTTTAAGTCTTACCATGGTCTAAATGTTTGAAAAGATTCAAGTGACTGATAAGGCATGGTTCTTAGGAGCTTGTAAACTACAGAAAAAAATATACATGAATAGGTAGGAAACAATTAGAGTCAGACATGAAATAATTAGAGAGAGACAAGCAAAGTGCTCAATTCACTTTTCCTGGACGTGAACCCCCCAGGGATGTCTAGTTGGAGGAGATTACAGTAATCTGGTTTGGGAGTTGATAAAACTTAGTTGGAAAAGGTAGGACTGTAATCAGGGTTTGAACTATGGTCATGATTTGGACATGTAAAGAGGATAGAAAACACATATTGGAAATCAAGTTAGATATTTTAAGTTGGGAAATTTGACCAAAGACTTCAAAAACCAATCAAAGGTCTGTGGGCTTGATAAAATTGATTCTAAAAACTCACTGGCTGTTTTCACTCAAAGCAGTGTTGTGGGGAAACATTTTTGGCGCCTCCCTGGATGGATAGCCATGGAAGTAACTGCAGGTGTGGGAAGTCTGAGGAGCCTGTTGTCATAGCCAAGGCCAGAGGTGTTGAGGAGGTGCGCAGGGTGGTGACAGTGTGAAAAGAGAGATGGGCTGCTAAGCTGTTTTCACATCATTCCCAACCATAAATGGATCTAAAGATGAACAACCTTTCATACCGTCGTATTTTACACTTAAAAAGCTCCAAGGGATTATTTTCTCTGAAAAGAAACTTAGGGCTATAAAATGTCCTCTTCACACTTCTTTGTACAAATCTGGCTAAAACTCTTTCTGTAGCAATTTGTTCATTGCTAATGTAATCACAGAATTTAACAACCAACTATTGATCGGTTTGCCAGTGGTGGAAATATATTTAGGTCAGTGCTTATAGAGTCAAGGAAATAATGGCGACAGAAATCAGGATGCAAATGCTCCCCACCTAGAAATTACAGTGCTTTTCCTTAGTCCCTTTCCCAAGGCCACCTACAAAATGGGGACAATGAAGAAAACTAACTCCTGTAGATCCTATTAATATACTTGCTGTAAGTTTTAAAATCCAGTAAGTATAAACCACCTTAGGCAGAGATGCATACACACACACACACACACACACACACACGATCAACTCATTCCAATGTTATTTTCCAAAAGCTCTTCAGTGTTATCACATCTGAACTATTTGCTGTTAGTATAGTGCTTGCATCTTTGTGTTAGTCTTTTACACAGGTGGGTCAAATATTGTAGTGCTCACTTAGATATTCTATATATATTAGAGGTTATTATAATGCTTAACATATATGCATCGTTGTATGCCCTATATGTTATTACTTTTATAATGTAATTATATATAATATCTTTTCTGTGATTTTATTTTAAAGATAAATTATTATGGATAATTTTTTTTCTGAGATTTTATTTTGAAGATAAATTTTCTTGCCCTCGCCCCCAGTGGCAATATAAGTGATTCTATTTCACTTAGTTTAAGCATTTTCTACAAATGTTTAATATATTAGACATAAAAACGCATTCCATGTGAGAAATCAATATCTGAATGAGTATTATTACCCCCGTTTCACAAATGGAAGATGGAGGAGCACAGTGATTAAGTGACATGCTCAGTGGTTCAGCCAGCAAATACCCCAGCTCCCTTGTCTGAAACAAGGATAATAATAGTCCTTACCTCGTGGAGGTAAATGAGCCAGAATTGCTTAAACTAGTAATTGGCACATAGGAAATATTACATAAGTCTGTTAAATAAAATATGAAAGGCAAGCTTGCATGACTCTTTTAGAGAAGTTAAAATGCATGAGAGGGAAGATTTTCCAAAAGAGTTATTTATACTTTAATCCTCAATTTTCTTCAGACCTATCAAAAAATAAAAAATAAAGAGAGAGAAAGTGAGAGAGAGAGAGAGAGAGAGAGAGAGCAATGAGCCTGCTGTTAACCAAAGAAGCATCTCTACCTTTTACTGAGTGTCCTTATATATCATTATTATTAAAATTGACATTTTTGGATCAGAGTGCCTCAGTTCAAATCCTGCTACTGTCATGTACCAGCTGTGTGACTTTCAGCAATTTATATAACCTTCCTGTGCCTCAATTTCCTCCTCTATAAAATTGGTCTAATAAGATATTTAATCCCACAACATTGCGAGCATTAAATTAGTTCCTGTCTATAAAAGAGTGCCTGACTTACACTTGGTGCTCGATACAGGTCACCATGGTAGACTACCAGGTTGCCTTGTAAACTTTACCATAAGCATGTACAGCGTGAAGCATCCAGAGAGTGCGCTTTCCTCCTTCCTGCTTCCTCTCCGTATGTTCTGGCCTGTGCCACTTCACGTGTTCGCAGTCAGTCAGGACTCGGCAAG